CATGAAACACTCATGAAACACTCATGAAACACTCATGAAACACTCATCATATACTGACGTCTGTGTTCGGGTCTCTCACCTTTCCTGTTTCTGTGAAACATGAATCCACCCACAGCGATGACGAGAGCAAGAAGAGCCACTGCGATGATGATGATGATGAAGGTCATGTCAGCGGGCTTCTCTGTTGAGCAGAAAACAACAATAAAATAGTCACAACCTGAAGAGATGAAGCAGGTTAGAAGAGGAGAACATCCATTCATCAAGCAGACCACAGTGCTGAACACACACACCATCTGTCTGTCCTTTCTTTATCTGGTCTGTACACGATGACTGTATCTCTGCTTGTTGATCTCGTCCAGCTGTGTTGTCTCTGTTCAGCTGTGTGTTTGTGTTGCTTTCTGTCTCATATGTTGGTTTTTGACACGACGACAACTTCTGACAAACACATTCAAACTCCTTTCTGACTGTCGGCACGCTTTGAATAAACTTTAACTAAACTAAACTTCCCGTCCTCATAAAAACACACAAACTGTTCCAGTGAACTAAAGGTGTGCTTCCCACCTTCATCACACCTGATCTCAGTCTCACCTTCGTTGGTCCTGATCACCTTTCCGTCCAGTCTGGTGACGATGTCCTCCTTCACACCAGACAGCTGGAACACACAGTCGTACCTCCTCCAGTCTTCAGCTGGGACTGATGACAGTTTCAGGTCAGCGCTCATCTGGAAGGATCCATCGTGGTTGGGGAGGATCTCTCCGTGGTCCATGTCCTCATGGAGCTCCTCTCCATCTTTCCTCCAGAACAGTGTGGCTCTGTCAGGGTAGAAACCTGTAGCGTGGCAGCTGACTGGAGAGGAGGACGTCTTCTGGAGGAGAGACACTGAGGGACGCTCTGGAGAGGGAAGAGAGAGACAGGTTATAGGTTCTTCAGTGTTATTATTTACTGTGTCTTCATATCATCATTCATGTTGGATGGAATGTATTTTAAATGCCTTGGTAACACACACACTACATATATATATATATATATTTATGTATGTATGCAATGCAAATAAATGTCATTGAGGTTGAATTGATGAAAGAAGGGAGAGACAAACAGATGAAGAGGTGAGATGATTAGAAAGGGAGGACAGTGAGTGTGAGGAAGACAGAGCAAAGAGACAGAGAGAGAAACTGAGACAGACAGAAACAGTTCAGAGACAAAGAGAGAGAGAGGACGGAGGGACAGAGGGGTGATGAGTGTGAGGGAGGAAATGTGGTGAAGGAGAGAAGGAGGCAGAGAGAGGAAGAGGTGAGGGAGGAGAAAGGTGTGAGACACAGCAGCTCTCTGTACGTGGCTGACATGTGTTGTAATGTGACTGTTGGACAGAAACAACAGAAGCTTTATGAAACTACATCAGGTCATGTGATTCTACCTGTTCTCATCAGAGAGCTCCTCCTGTAGTTCACATACTTCTTCAGCCACTCAGGACAGATCTGAGTCAAGTAGTTCTTCTTCTGTGCTATCACAGCTCTGTTATTATTCCAGTTGTCTTTGGTGAAGACAGCATGTTGTTTTGGAGCGATGAATGTCTCTGTCTTCAGGTCAAACGATATGAAGTCTTCTCCATCATAACCATGCTGATAAAAACCTTTGATCTCATTGGTCTCATCATCCCATTCACAGCCAACCATCCTCTGGATAATGTGGACACCTGAGAGAGAGAGAGAGAGAGAGAGAGAGAGAGAGAGAGAGAGAGAGAGATTCTTTAGTCTGAACAATATTTAATATGAAATGATATTAATCAGAGAAAAGCAGAACTTTCTCATATTTGAGAAACTGGAAGGAGAAAATGTTTGACATGTTTTCTTGGTGAAAGACTTGAGTGATCATCTGATGATCAACATTTAAGTCAATTCATTCCTGTTAAACTAATAGATTCCTTATTCTAACACTATGTATGTTTATTAAGACATAAACACACCAGAGTGAAGTTAAATGACGCTACTCTGTATTATTCTCCATATTTAGGGCTCAAACTAATTGTTCTCGTCTTTGCTGGTTATGTAATGTCTATTTTTAATGAATCCATAAATAGTTTGCACTTTAAAATGTCAGTAAAGTGTGAAGACGCCGTTAAGTTGAGAGAGTCTGATGAACTCTTTAAAGTGCTTCTTCAGTCTGAACAACACTGAACAGTATTTCATTCAGAACGACATCAATCAGAGAAAAGGAACAAAGTCTCACACTGAGAAACCTGAACTACAACATGTTTGACTTGTTTATTTAATTAAAGACTTCAATTATTATCTGATTATCATAAATGGAGCCAATTCATTTGTTTAACTATCTGAACAAATTCATAACTTGTTTCAGCGCTGAAGATGTTTATTAAGACATAAACACATTGTGGTGAAGTGAAGTTCACTCATCTGTAGTTCTGTCTCTACATGTATAGAGTATTATGGGATGGACACACTGTGGAGTGAACCCTGTGGTCTGAATGAGACATGCACCATGTGGTCCTGTCAGCCAGCTCTATTAAAACATGCTGCTGCTCCTCCTCTCAGGAGAGGACCCAGCAGAAGCAGCCTGCGTCCCGTTCACAGTCCTGCGCCCTACTTTGAGAAAGCAGCCGTCATGTTCCTCTACCAGCTGTGTGTTGTCAACGCTCTGTGATCAACAGCTTCCTGCAGCACACTTCTCATGGACCAACTCACTGTGGGCACTTCAGTAGAGTTCTTCTGATCTAACCCAGTGGAGAGAAGGTGCTCATGATCTCTGCTGCTCATTATGGGATGGACACAATCACTGTATCAGTGGAGTACAGCAGCATCCAGGCGACTCAGTGTCAGTCATGTTTCTGCTGAGTCACACTGTGTTTCAGCCAAGAGAAGCTGTGTGTGTGTGTGTGTGTGTGTGTGTGTGTGTGTGTGTGTGTGTGTGACATCTGTTTACTAAAGTACAGGATGACAATATCAACAAAATGTGTGAAACATAAACAAACCTCCAGTTTGGTTGAAGCGCTGCTTTACTGTTTCCATGTCGGCTTTGCAGACCTGCTGGTTAATCACAGAGCCCTCAGTCTGTTGCTGTCAGTACTGAGGATCATCTGCTGTGACTCTGATCATCCAGTCCTGTTTGGGTTCATATCTCCTGGTGTTACTGTCATAGTGACTCATCTCAACGTCATCAACCAACCCAACAGCCACAAACTCTGGGAAGTTTGGGACTCCAGAGGACGCAGTGTGGAAATACTTCAGAGAGTGAGTCACTGGAACAGAAAGATAAAGTCATCACTTACAGTTTAGATATCACGCTTTAATAAATCACTGAACAATGTTGTTCTGCTGCTCACAGAATCAAAAAGAACTACAGTACAATAAATACATGCTAATAATATCTGCTGAGCACTCAACACACAGAAATAAATGTGTACTTTAATATTTCTGATGTTTTAAAAACTATCTGTTCTGAAGTGAAATATGAAACAAGTCACATGTTTAGATCATGCAGTTGTTACAGGACCAAGAATGACAGGAAGCTCACTCTGGTGCAACACATTTCATTTCCTGTAAACACATGAAAACACATGAGGTCAGGTGAGCAGCTCTCTGTTCTGATGACACGTCGCTCATCACGTACTGACGGCTTTCTTCTGCTCTACTGACGTCAGCGACTCTCTAACAAATAGAACTCATCACAGCAAACATTTCACTTCCACTGACAACTCGCATAAAATGACTGAAACACACATTACTGTACACACCAGTCTGACTTCTCTGTTCACAGGATGTCTCACAGAAATGACAATAAATGACAATAATGTCTTCTGACTCATCAGCCAATACGCATTTACCCAAATATCTGCAATAAGCTCGTATGCACAAATAATATCCAGGTGTGATTTATCAGTCCAGCTCCACTAAACGGCCTCAGTGCAGCGTCGGAAATACACGAGGGCAAAGGGCAAAACCGCCCCTAAGAAATATCATTTTGCCCCTGATATCACTAGGAGAGGGGCAAACAATGCCCCCGAACTTTCTAAACGAATAAATAAATGTGCGCTTCTTCATCAGACCTGTGACTGCGAGACTGCGGTCAACTCAGCAGACACTCACATGTTAGTGCACCTTTATGCTGACATTCACGGTAAACTCGTTCAAACGGCGCAGATCGGGAGCGAGCGAAGGACTTTGAAAGTTAGCGAAAAGATTAACGTGAGACAACATCCGGTTTCTTCAGACGAACATCCGGTTTTCAGAATAAGATGCCAACAAAGTATGAATTATATTCACATTAAGTGTAAAACATGCTGCCTGCATCTCGTGAGTTAAATGGAAAATACACCTAAATTGTGCGTAAAGTGTCTTTATTCTTTGATTTGAGGGTTGCTAATGAATAATACCTGACTGACAGTCAATTAAGATATTTTACTAAGCAACAACTCTGAACTGAATTTGACCTTCAAATGGCACATTCTTTTAATTTTTAAGGTGCTATAAAAATATCTTTCTCAATAATTCCATACAATGACTGATGTATATGTAATCAAGGCATCGTTGACTTAATAATTGTTAATAGTTGTTTAAAAAAAATGTAATAATAACAATAAATAACCACAAAGAAGTAAGAATAAATTGAATATGATTGTCTGATTTATGTTTGTTTTTTGTTTAAAAAATCTAAATAACACTTTGAATCTGTAGACTACTGCTAATAGTCTTATTATTGCCATTTGATGACAATTGCTCATATATTGTAAGCCTAAATAAGTATATTTATTATTTTGAACAAAGGTTAAATGTTATTTCACAAGTTTCAAAAAGTGCCCCCAATTTTTTGAAAATGCCCTGGATTTCAGTCAGTGGGGGCAAAAATTTCCCCCAAAAAATATGTAAATTTCCTACCCTGCCTCAGTGTGATGTAATCTGACCCAACCAGCTAAAGTCAGTGTTAACGCTGATGTGTGTGTCAGTGTGTGGAGTCAAATGTCATCATTATCTGAGGAATGGCTTCAATATGTAGAGGTCACACAATACCACCACATGAGCTAAATAATCCATGTTCAGGAGGTTGTCATGGATTATGTGTTTTATGAGTGCACATGTTATTCTCTAAATCTTTGTTTGTTATTGATTCACTATGAGAGGCTGATATATAATATGATTTTCTTCTTCTTCCTTTTCAAATCATGAAATATGAATTATTTAGTGACAGATGACACTTTACATCTTGTTTAAGGAGTGAACACTGAAGAGACTGAAGAACAAGATGATTCATGAGTAATGCATCAAGTGTCAGTGATTGAGTTTATTAGTGAACGATATTAAATATTACAGCAACAAAGCAGGAAGTAGTTTGTCTTCAGCAGGAAAACAACCATCAACTGACTCGTTGTTTCAAAGTAAAAGTCCCAAACCTCCACAGCAGCCTGAGAGATGAAATGTGCTGACGTGTTTCCTGACTGTATGAATGTGTTCATTATGTCTCCTGAATGACAATAACTAACACTAAATATTGACATCGTTGATACAATAACAGTCATTGTAAACAGCACTGAATGAACCGCAGCACACATTCTACATAAAACACCAACAAGTTAGATATTGAAATAGAAAAGCGCACTAAATATAGTGCTTGTTGTGACGTCATGTTTCATGCTCTTTACTCATCGGACTGGTGTTGGACTGTTGCTGCGCTGCGTCATGCTGACGTCTGAGCTTTAAGCGCGTTCACACCGTTTCGCTCTGAATGCTGCTGATATTATGAAATAATGTCCCAAATAAAAGCGACAGCAGAGTGAGAGAAAGAACACACTTCTGTCCTTTTCACAAAGTCACTCGAGGACACAGCGGCTCCCTCAGAAACATGTCGGGACCAATCACTGAGCTGCACACACAGGATTCACTAACGTGGACTTTAAGAGCATTTCTGACTTTTTACAACATTTTCTGTCGTCAACGAGGAAGTCCTGGAGCTAAACATCAAAGACGATCAAAAGCAGCTTAACCTGATGAACACAGTCTATAAAGACACGAAGCTTTCCTTCTTTTACAATCACACAACTTATAAAACAAAGAGTGAACTCACCTGCTGCCGCGCCGTGAAGGTGTATCATCAGGAGAGACAGAATCAACGCCTCCATAGTGAAATGTCGCATCTTAACTTTTGGTGCTTTTTATTATTAAAGTGATCCGGTCCGCTCAGCTCCAGGATCAGGACTGAACTGAGGGAGAGAGAAGAAGCAGCGCCGCCTTCCACCTCCATCTGAGCCAATGGGAATTTAAGCTGAGCGTGACGTCACGTATAACTAGGTAGAAGTGAGCCACTCAGGTTGTGAAGGAAAGTGAAAGTAGTGTGATGTTGTTTGAGCGCGTGTGAGAGGATGAAGGAGACACGGACACGCGGGGCTTTATTCTGCTGTTCTCATATGAAAGGAGTGTTTGACCTCCTGCTGCTCGGGTCTTCTCTCATGATTTGTACTCTGATGTCACGTCATGTGCACAGACGTCACATGACGTCAGACTACAGTGGTTCACAGCTGCACTTGATGAGCAGCAGGACAGTTTCTCAGACTCTTGTTATCTGTTGTGTTAAACAGGTCTGTGTGCGATCAGAGCGTCTGCTGATGAAATGAGATGGAGGGGAGCTCCATATCCAACAAGGGGTTTTATTGATGTGTGAGCACGTTAAGGTGTTCAGTACAGGCCTGCACGCTGGTCTTGGCACACATGAGGCCTGAAGCATCAGCACAGACAATACGACACAACACGAGAGAGTCTCCGTAAAAGCCGCATATTCACATAACACTCAACAACATCGTCCCCATTTACTTAAACTGCACATGGATTCACTTGTGAGTCTGCAGGCCTCTGCCTCTGTTCTTACCTAGAGACACAGAGGTGAAATCTGATTGGTTAAAAGCTCTACTTAAAATAAGCTGCACTGGAAGCAGAGCAACTGAGGAAGACAGTAAATATGCAATGAGATAGTAAGCTAATGGGAAGAATATTTAGAATACATGTAGTGTATTTATGAAAAATGATTAAATTATAAAATAGCTATAACTTTGTGATTCTGTCTGTCAAGCAGAGGAGGCCTTGCTGGCCCTGAGGGCCCACCACTGATGTCATGTGTACGGAATGAACAACATAAAAGAATTACAACACATTCAATGCATATGATATAAATGTTATGAAAGAATAATTGTACAACTAAAAACAGAAAAAAGGGGGCCACCGGTGTAACACGCAAAATCAACATGTCAACCTAACTTCTCCGTTTGTGAAAACCTATTTGGAGATAAACCTGATTCTGATTCTGGAAACTGTAAAATAAGAAACATTAAATACCTTCATGTGATTCAACTTCATGATCATCTTTGGAGAATGTAGTCTGAGGTGCTGTGTAGCTGTTTTGCATTATGGCGAGAGGCGTTTCTGTTATTTTTGATACCCTGATTGATTGAAATGTGGTGGACAAAATAATAGAAACACCTGTCAATAGAAATGAGGATACAGTTGATTCAACATGAAGGAAGGATTTATTTCAAGACTTTTGTATTAGACTGCATTAGTTTTAGCAAGGTGAAAATATAGTATACAGTATAAATAATACACTGCTTCGTTGACCTAAATATGAAACTTTGGTCACATGTCAGCATCTTACTGTTAACCTGTTTACATTTCTGCCACTGTGCACATTTGTTGTTGTTGCTTTTGCTCCTTTTTGATCATCTGTCTGGCTTGAATCTTATTTAATTCATCAAATGAATGTAGAAATGAGTAAAAAGACCACAATATCCAAATAGAGTATTTCAAGTAAAGTAGGCTATAAGTACCTCAAATCTGTACTTGAGTAAATGTACTTTATCACATTCTACTTAAAAAAAGTTTGGTCATTTTAGTTGTCAGCAAAAATTTGTCAAACAAGAGGAAATAGTGCGTTTGTTGGGGACTATTTTCAGCGGCGGATTAATCCACATTTTGTGCTCTTGTGACTATTTGGGACAGTGTGGCTCATTGTTGTGTTTTTAATCGTTTAACAATAGAGCTCTATGACGCAGAAGTACAATATATATCATGCTGTAATACATAATACTTGTTAGAAGTAAATAATTGTTGTTTTGCGTTGTTTTGGGGCTTTTGTTGACAGTAAGAAGAAGTCGAAACTCTCACCCGGAAGCGACTTCACTCCATATTTGTTGTGATTCCCGGCGATCGAGAAACAGCCAATCAGCGGGGCGCCTGTGTGTAGTAGGCCACGCCCTCTACGGCTGATCACGAGTGGATCCGCGTGCGCCCACTGCCAGTCTCGACCAATCAGAAGGGTCCGCTGTGAGAGTTGAGGAGGGGGCGGGAGCTCGAGCTCTGTGTGACAGCTCCGGGTTCAGTGCTGCACCAGAGAGAGAAAAACAATTAAAGAGGTCTCACTCTGTACTTTTTGAAATTTATTTTTACTTTACTTCAAATTTTGATATGCAGCTTTAGCTTCCACTTTATAAATTAAGACGGGAACAATATTTTTGTAGATTGTAGATTTTGTAAGATCGGATGTATTAGAAAATGGTGGCTGTCTGAGGGGCAGGGGCGGAAAAAAATAAAAAGGACACCAGCTGCATGCAGTGGGGAACCAGAGTGCAGAACGTTTACTAGCATACTAGGGCAGCCTGTATGGCAGTGCATCTCATTTTCTCCATTGGAAGGGTATCCTAGAGGGCACTTCATCATGTTTTCTCCACTGGAGGTGCCACCTAGAGGGCACTTCCTTGTGTTTTCTCCACTTGAAGGGTTGCCCTATGTTGCATCGAGGGTAGAAAATACTTTTCGGAGGGCTCCTAACAAGGGCCAAACTGTGAGGAGTCTTGTAATTCCTTTTGTTTCAATGGTTTGTTTGAGTTTTGTTATGTTTTAAATATCTGTATCCGCTGATGATGACGGGGCGTATTTATGTTGTTTAATGTATTTTACACAACATAATGCATGTTTTTTTAAGGCATCATTAAGGGCACACTGTTGGAGACCGGATGAGCGGTTAGTGCTCCATCAACACTACCACCATAGACGATCTTTGCGCTGCACACGAAAGGGAAAGGAAACAGAACGACTTCTCCATTCAGAGCCCCCCCCCCCTCCTCTCGCTCATCTTTAGCTTGTACCGAGTGTTTGATCGGTCGGAAGCTTTGAGACGAGTTAACGTTTATATTTCCTCAGTTTCAGGGTTTATTTTTGGGGCTGGTTTTTTTTCTGACTCCCGTGGAGCCCGCTGTTGACCGTGAGGAAATAGCTTCGCGTGAAATTATCTCCAGACGCCAGATTTATCGAGCCCAAACCGCACAAAGTTGTTAGGCAAGCTAAGCTAGCTTAGCCTACCTAGCGAACTCTTAAGCTAGCTCACAAGCTAACTTAGCTTCGCAGTGCTGGTCGGAGCGTCGTTGTTTTTTGTCGCTGCATCGCAGCTGCACGTGGCTTCACACCCCTGAAAACTGAAAACTGGTCAGGGTTAAGAGCAATACGCCGGTTGCTTTCCTTGCTTCCTTTGCTAGCGTGCTCGATTATAGCCTGCTAGCTAACACCCTGCGCATTTTAGCCTGGAAGCTAAATTCAAGGCCTCAAGTCCAGCACTACTAACCACCAGAGTGTTTTTTTTTTGCAATTGCCGTGCAGGTGTGAGAGTTGACAGGTGAGTAAGATACTGTTTTTTCAAACTTATTGCGGTGTCAAAAGCGGACATTAGAGTAACAAACATGCGGAGTAGACACTTGTTCAGTTAGCTTGCTTGCTAACTAAATATTAGCTTGATTGGTTGGGGGAATCCGCGAAATCACCCCGGAGGTCGCCATCTTTCATTGGATGCTGCTGCAAGCCAGCTAACTCTGACGTCTCATAATAATAACATCACTAGACATGGCTGCGACTCTATACCCGGAGTGAACTTTAAACACACGTCGTGGTGCGTTCACGGCCTCCTCTCTGTTGGCCATTTATTACACATATTTAGCACTTTGCTCCTGTGACAACCTGCTTATTGCCTGGTGACGGAAGGAGTGTCACCGTGTGAGCTGGTGTCTCTCTGTCTCTCTCTTTCTCTCTCTCTCCTGCATTGCGTCTTGAGTAGAAAACTCAGCCCTCGACCAGTAAAGTTGTTGCAAACAAACGCACCCTCAGCGTGGTGTTGGCCTTGTTTTGGATGGAGATATAAACACTGGTTCTACACCCCCACAGGGGATGTACCAGATGCCTGGTTACCGTCCTCCACCAGCGGTAACACATCACCTAAAAATACCCCCCCACCCTCCTCGGTTGCATTTTTCACCACCAGGCTTATTTTGGGTGATAAATCACCGTGCGGGGTGAAAACAAGGCCGAGCGAAGCCTGTGTTTTGGTTCAGCCCTCGTCTAGACGCTGTGATTGACTCACTGCATCTGTACAGGAAGTGACATGTACAGTGAACCCGGGGGTCGGTGTTTATTATGGGATGTATCGGGTCAAACTGTGATCACCCTCTGCCTCATAGTACAGAAATACCAAGACCTGGTCTCTGAGAGTACAGGTGTTTCTCTTGCATTGTGCTGTAGATTGTGTTGTTTGTCAAGATGAAGTTATTCATCTCTTAACTGTTGGTGCACCAGGATTAAAGGAAACAACCTGGTTTTAAAGATTAATATTGACTGATGAGTTTATACATGACAGTAGTAGTTGATAGTTTCCAAAACACAACAAACTGTGTGTGTGTGTGAGTGTGAGAGACAGTACATTTCAGTTGGCATGTTTTTAAGGCAACTGTTGAGAAAAGTCTGTCACACAACAGCTGTTTTGATAGCGGCCTGGTATTGATGCAGAGGTGTGTTTAGCCCCATTAATCGCAGTGGCATGACACACACACACACGCGCCATGTATGGGAATCAGTATATGGATCAGAGGTCACCAGCTTTACAGCAATGCCATTCTTTTTCTGCTTTGTATGCAAACACAGCGAGTGTCGGAGACAGGCAGCCGATTGTTGTGTCGAATTATCACCGCTTTACAAAACGGGACAGAAACGAAGAGGTTCCTCTGCTCACTGGTTCTACGTGAGTGTGTACCGTTGAGGTGAGATATAGTGGTAGTGATTAATTACACTGCTGCTACTGAAACTGAAGCCTTTAAAGGTGCAATTATTTAGAAAACGTGTCGCCTGCTGACACCAAAGTGCAGTTAAATGTGACTATAGATGGACGCTGAGCTGAGCGAGGTGTTGGAGGTGATGGTCAGTTGTGCTGAAGCAATTAAAAGGCTGATTGACAGAGTTAATTAAATTGATTGAATCAAATTTGGATATCCAATTAAACGGCTTTTCTTAACTCTGCTTGTTGCAGGCGGCTCCTCGCTACAGCTGCTTCTTTATTATTAAATAATCCGTAGATTACTCAGATTATTTGGTTTGTAAATTATCAGAAAGTTGTTTTAATAAATTATCCTCACAAGTTCCCATTTTTCTCCATCCAACAGTTTGAAAACCAAAGATAAAATACTCAGTTTACTAACACTAAACTAAAGATTTGTTTGTCATTTTTCAACCAAAAAAAGTTGAAGAATGACACAAATATTTTATTAACAAAACTCTTCTTAGCATTTTTTAGTAATTTCATAAAGTAAACGATTAACTGATTGGTTGAACAGAAAGTAGGCCTAATACTATATATTATGGACTTCTAGATTTATCATTATTACTGTATAAAAACAGTTTGTTTGTGTTTAATATTTTAATTTATCTTCACGAACCTTCAGTGAAACGCAGGCTTTAATTAAAACGTCATTTTGATTTCCTCTTTGTATTTCGTGAAGCTTGATGTCATTTACTGTAAACCAGTGAGCAGGAAGGGCAACATATTTCTATCACGTGGGAACATTAAGTCTGTTTGTTTCTGTTAAATGTGTCTCACTGAATGTAGAAGTCTCTATGATAGATGTGTTGGAGTGGAGACACTGCTCCTCTTACTTTAATTATTATTTATTATTTACACATATCGCAGCATTCGTTTGAACATTTAATTCTTCTGGAAATGTTGGCCCTGTAAAATTATATTTTGTAAATCAAAAGAGCAGATTCAGACAACTTTCATAATGATAATAATAGTTCACTAATTATACTCACAAAAGGAGCTTACTGATGATGATGATGTTAATGAGAGTACCCGTTCATGTTCCAGTTGTCTTTGCTTTGACACACCTGAACCAGCCGACGCTCAGGTGTGTCCACAACATAACTGTGATTATTAAATACTCAACAACTTGATTTAATTTCCTCTGTTCAGGGCAAAGAAACTGATGACACGAAAAGACTCACAAGAATAGAAAATTAACATTAATAACTCTTCTCTTCTCGTGTACTATCTCTGTCTGTCTGTCTCTGTCTCTCTGTGAGCTAGTCAACACTTAATTAGTGTGAAGAACAGTTTGTCGTCACGTTTCAACGTCGTTTCATTTGATATTATAGTTTTATTTCTGTGTTTTGAATAAGAGTCGCTAAACTTCACATTAAACATCAATTCAGCCTCTTGAATCAAATTATTTCACAATTATGTCACAAAATGATTTGCTGACCAGTAAAGTTTGTGTTTAGATAAAACATTCTTGGACTTTTACAGATGTGATGGTGCTTTTGCTCTTTCAAGTTAAATAAATAAAAACGTTTTTGAGTTATAGCTCTAAATGTGTGATGTGTGTTTATTTAATTCCCTGTAACATACAGTAGTCTGTACACAAACTGGCATTGAAAACAAGTCACATTAGTCTCCGTTGTATCGTCAAAGTACTCAATAGTAGCTATCGGACACTGCCCCCCCCCCTCTTTGGCCTCGGTCGTGGTACTCGTGTAACTTTATTATTATGCCTCAGTCCCTGTGATCAACATCCGTCCTTGAGTCCTAACTTGTTTGTCTCCTCCGGCCTCCTGCAGCTTCCTTGGTGACACAGAGACTTCTCCCTGAGGAGCCAAGAAGCAGACGGCTCATGACTTCTGACCAGGACACGAAAGTTGTAGCTGAACCACAGGTGCAGCAAGTACAAGAGGCAAAAGAGAGCTCTCATTTGGTGAGTTCCTACCCACACGGATGCTGATGTCCGTTTGTTTTACAGCTTATTCCTCTCCTCAAAGTTTTCTACATCCTGGTACTTTTGAGTCCTTCCAGTCCCAAGTTTTAGTTGAATAGAAAATGTAAAAATATCACAACAAATGAGGAAGAAGTCTGTCGAGTGAAGCCGATGCCTCATGTGTTAAAGCTGCATTCTCTCTAGTGACCACCAGGGGGCGACTCCTCTGGTTGTCTAGAAGTCTATGAGAAAATGACTCTACTTCTCTCTTTATTTATTACCTCAGTAAACATTGTAAACATGAGTTTATGGTCTCAATCTCTAGTTTCAAGTCTTCTTCAATACAGCATGATGTTCATTTAGTACATTATGGTCCATTTAGAGTCAAACAGACCATAAAGCAGGGGATGCTTTAGGGCGGGGCTACAGTCGACTTCTTAAATACAGTCTGTGGGTTGAACCCATTGAGCTTTTAAATCCTCTGATATTTAAAGTGAAACTCTGTTCTACCAGTTGTGGCTCGTTGATGCTTCCAGATTAAAGCGGGTGGAGCGGTGGTCATCCTGCTTTATCCTCTGCAATGTAAAGTTTATACCATGACTAGGTGTGTTGGCATACTGATCTATCGTTCTGTTCATACTGGGTGTGATCCTTCTGGCAATGAAACGTCCACAGTTGTTGTTTTGTTTTCATGTTAACATCTGTAGCATTCAGCTGGTGTGAACCTTTTTTCATGGAGTGATTTTAAACAAGTACAACATCAGACAGTTTCAGTTCCTACATCACCAGCATGACAACAGTGAAGACGTGTTTCAGATATTAATGTGTCTTTAGTCTTACTGATAAACGTAGCATCAAACCAGCCTCAGCTCGTTCTTCACTGGCATCGATTTCAAACGCTGATTATATATAATGGAGAAGTGTTTTGGTGAAGAAACATTAGGCAGAGAAAGACACACGTGATGTTCTGTTACTATCTTCACTATCAAACATCAAATGTTATATTTGACTATTGGAGTGCTGCAGGAATGAGTCTTAAAACCCGGTAATGAGTCAGCATTTCTGTGTGTTTTCCCACCATTTTTCCAGCTGCTTCTTTGACCACGAAATATATCTGAGCCATGCATTTCCTGATTTTGGCTGCTTCAAAATAAAAGCGTTTAAATAACAAAATAACGGGGGGAAATATATGAAAATGTGTTTAGCGCTGAGTTAGTTGAGCTTTACTTGCAGTTATTCTTAATTTAAAACAAGTCTACTAATACTGTATGGAGGAAGAGTAATCGGCAACACTAACAATGGGCTTTTATTGTGAAGAATCACAGGAAATTGAATGTGTTCATCCACTGAATGGTGTGCTGCAGTCCTAAAATGAGTCAGCATCTTTCCACTTCCTGTTCCCTCATCTGGAAGTCAAAGTGTTTTTGGTTTGATGGCTGAAATTAAGTCTGTGTTTAAACCGAGCGGAAGAGATTTTACATTTTAAATAAAATGTGTCCGTAAATACCCCTCTGGAGAATTTAGAAGCTTTTACATGTCTTAAAAAAAAGACACTAATCACTACAACACAAGTCAGACTTTAACATTCTTACTTCTACTTGTATTCATGCTTCAAAAATCACAAAAGCTGTGTTAATTTATGAGCAAAAACGTGAAAGTATCATAAAAGTAATTCAAAATCCAGTGTCGGGGAGAGAACCCATGTGACGCTATAACTTCCTGTTGGGTCGACTATAAACACGTCACCCCTGCATGTGAAGGAATCCCGTTTAAACCACTTTAAAGAATGAACCAGTTGAGCTGGTGTGAGGGTAAAGCCGTCAACGTTTCATGACAGCTGACACTTTTAAGAATATAACTCTAAACACACAGAGTGGTGTTGCTGCTGCTGACCCAGACGTAGAATTACCTCCAGACTCTTTGTCCACACCTTTTTATTAGTTCCTCTCCTAACTCACCGGTAGCTGCTGATGTTTGTCTGGGATTAACTCACACTGTGTGTATGTGTGTGTGTGTGTGTAGTGAGCAGAGAATGTTTTACATTTTTGGGCTTTATTGACATGTTGGTGAGAGATTTAAATGTATCAAGTGTTTAGTGAAATAGGACAACGTAAACTTTAAACGGTGACTAAAACCCATAGTTTTAGCCTTCCTTGACATCTTCTACTCTCTCTCTTCAGCAGTGAAGGTCGTTTACGGCTCTCTGCTTCAGAGGAGAAGCAGAGAGCCGAGTTTAGAAAGAGAACCTGTGTGTTGTTTCTGATGGCTTTAACTCAACCTCCTCCGAAGAGGACAGAATGTGGAACTGAGGGTAAGAAGTTAGCGGATGGCCTTGAGGCTCCTGAGCGCTCAAAAAGTAAGGAAATAGAAAGACTCCGCTGTCTTTTACACATGGGGGTAAGATGGGAAAGAAGACATGCAGCGTAAAGGAAAAGAGGTTGATGCTTCAGGCTGTGCTGTCATTACAAGGTGGGAAAGAAGTGTTCAGAGAACCAAAAATACTGCTTCCAGGGTTGAATACACACCATTAAGGATGTCAAGGCTCCGGAGCAAAGTCTGAGGCATGATGGGAAATCTACTCTCTCTCTCACACACACACACACACACACACGTGTCTCTTTTTTTGAAATAGTCATAAAATCCACAAGAAATCTGCACAAAAATTCTAGTTCAGTCCAGGTAATCTTTATAAATGCACGTTATTTTGCGTATAGTATTGTTACTTCACACGCTGCCCTGTCGGTTTACTTAAAGAGGTAGTTTGGATGTTTTGAAGTGTGGTTTTATGAGGTACTTCTACATAGTCGGTGTATTTCCTACAGTATGGAGTGTATGGAAACTGTAGAACAGTGTTTGAACCACAGGAAGTAAAACTGAATCGTCAGTAATTTCCTCAGAAATTAGATAAAATGAAGATAAATGACTGCAGAACACGATTAAATGTCATTAAATTAATTAAATATGGAGTGTATAACTTGGAAATATTAAAAACAAAAACTTCTTTAAACCAAGTAATCAGAATCTAGTTTAGACTCAAATCACACTGGTGTCGTAGCAACACGAGTGTTTTCCTCCTCATTCCTTATTCTCACACACGCACGCACACACACCATCTGCTTTGCACATATGTGTTAGAAACAGAGCAGGAATCAAACATGACCTATTTATGTTAAATCACATCAGTTGGGGATTAAAGCTGCTCATGAAGCAGGACTCACACTGGGATCAGATCCTCCTCTCGTCTGGTGAACGTTACTCTTTAACAGCCGAGCGGCTATTTAGTTATCGAGCATTTACAGGTATAGAAATACAAAAAACATGTGTGAGCAGAAACCTAAAAAGCTGAGGAGACTAGAGGAAGCTTAACTAACTTAACTTCTCCCTCCTTTGCTGCTGCTAATGCTACGTCACACTTGTATTTAACAACTTTACACGGCTCATTAGAGGCTTTTATTGTGAAACATTTTGCAGGACCCTGTTGTTGATTGTGGACAGTTCCCATCCTTAGAATGTAGCTGCCATCTTGGGTACTTCTACGTTACTGCAAAATACAGACATTAACACACAAATACTACTTTAGACGAGGTTGTTCTTACACATGCTTATCACCAATGTTATGGACATTTTTACTGTGTGTTATGGATGTAGATGAGTGTCTACAAGCTTTTGTAGAAAGATGATGTCCCCGTTTCTGATCGATGAATCACTTCTCCGTCTAGTGGAAACCGTCATCAATGTGGTGGTTTTAAAATGTAACCCTCTTGTTTTTATCTCGACTAGTGTTGGAAAGCATTTGTCACAATAAATCTATTTTTCGGGTGATGTAGTTTGATAACTTGTGAGTTTGTGTAGGTTTGAATGCTCTCTGACACTGATCTGGTAATGCTTTTATCACCTTGAACCACTTCTGTTGGAAGCGTTGTAGTTGTGATGTGTTTGATTGCTCATCGCTCAGTGATGTAGCTGTCAGAAAAGCAAGATGAGCCTCAGGTCTGCAGACGGACGGATGCGTCCAAATTCAGTTCAGTTTGTTGTTGTTTTTCTCCCCTGAAGGACTCCATCATGTCTGTCTCTCTGTCGTCTCGCCTCCATCAGACGGGCAGTAACCCGGCTGCCCTCCGATGACACCGTCTCGTCTCTCGTGATGAATCACTTTCTCCTCCCCAAAAACACGCCTTCAATCAGGGAGAAGCAGATAACCTTTCCCTCCTCTGTGTGAAGGAAGGGCACATTTAAAACAGAACAACAGAAAACACTGTTGAAAGGTCAGAGAAACGTCCACATCCGGTGATGCCAGCCAGCTCGTGTGTGTGTGTGTGTGTGTGTGTGTGTGTGTGTGTGTGTGTGTGGGGGGTGAGTTGAGATATATGACACAGCAACAATGTCGTCTTGCTTCTCATCTTGTATCACGTCGGTGTTATCTCCTAAAAATCTCTCGTCCTTTTTTTGTTTCTGTGACTAATTCCAAGAAGCAGGTTTTTATTTTCCTGCCTTTTTCTTGTGCCTCGGCATCTCGGCTCGTTGGCAGAATAATTTATTTAAAAAGTCTCAAGACGGCCAATTTAATTTGAGCAATGTCCTCGAGGGGGGAGGGGGGGAGGAAGGGTTTGATTTAGCGTGTGGATCACTGGAGCTGACTTTCATCTGAGCTCAGGTGTGCAGCTCAACACCTCCTCGACAGCTCTGGTGTTTATTTATTTTATTTTTTGCAGAATAACGTCGTAAAAAAGAGTGCATTTGGCGGTCCAGGTTAAGGCTTAAGACACACAATGTTGTGCCCTGTGGAGACACCTGGGCTCAGTTTATGTGTGTTAATCATGGATTTGGATGCGGTGGATTCTCGTATCGCCACCGTCAGGAAGCTCCTTGCCCGCTATACGCCTCGGGAACCCTTCAATGAAACGCTGGCTCTGGGTTACAGCCTGTTGGCCCATGAGACGTGCACGCTGAGCCGCTGGTTTGAGCCCGTGACTACGTCCAGCAGGCAGCAGGGCTCTGTGGACCTGGTCCCAGTGTCGAGGTGTTGGTCTGAGGGACTCTTTTGCTGGCAGATGATTGAAGCTTAGTTTATACTCACCGTAGTGAGGCTGGTGTGTGTTCGTGCATCTCTGAATCTCTGAAAGCACTATTTAATTGTCTGGTGATCATACAAAGCAGGTACATTCTTTTTCAGATGTTTTACAGACGAGAGGTCTTTAAAAATCTACATTTGAGTAAATATTTAGCAGACAAATCAAATAGTTTTCAACCTATATTCTAACCAATATTCAACCTTTTTGTTTCTTTATAATGCATGTAATACTTGACTTGTTTTCTTTACAGGGCTTGTACAAAGGCAGTAAAGTACTTCATGAATATGAGATATTAGTTTACAGATAATTAGAACCCGTCTTCTGCATTGTGGAGGTTGGTATTTATGGCTTTATGCCGGTTACACCAACAGTCTATGGGCGAGCTCTGTGCTGTAACTGTATGTTAACCGTCATGGATCCTGAAGGGAAAACATTACGTCTTCTCTTTGTAGCTGTGCTTTTTCCCTCGTCGGTAAATGTGTCTTATCTGCAGACATCCCTGACCCACTTTCTGTGTTCTTTTCACAGGAATCCGCCAAGGTTTCGGACCTCAACCCCAATGCGAAAGCATGGGCCAACCACATGTTTAGCCTGGACCCCAGCGGGAGTGCTGACACCACAACTGCTGCCCTACAGCCATGGAAGGAGGGCTGCAATAGTTCGACCGATCCCGGCCCAGAAGGTCAGCCAGAGATTCTCGGGATGCAAAAATATGTTTAACCGCTTCTATGCTTAGTTTCATTTGGGGAAAAGAAATGGATGTTAAATATAAATGCACTGCGTCTGCAATAATACACATGAGTAGTAAGTAACATACATTAAGTCCTAATGACATTTTATGCACCAAAGCCAACTGATCAAAACATCCAGTAAATACAGTAGAGTTCTACAAGAGGAAGTAAGAAAATGTATTTTATGTTGTAAAGTGACCACTTAACTGGCAACTTCTGAAGTACAAATATCTGTCAAACCAACATACATTCATTGGAGTTATGTTTGTATGAGAGTAAAAGGTTGAAGAACTTGAAGTGGCAGTTGACGCATATGAACTTGAAGTAGTTGCTTCAGTTTGAGGGGGATAAAACTAAAACAAATTGAAGTGGCAGCTGTAGTTAGATTACTGAAAGGAGTGGAAGTGGCCGGTGGATTTGCAGGACTAAAGATAGTTTAACTGTCAGCTGAACAGATTAGGAGTTATTTTGAGTTCAACCTCTGAAAGGAGTTGACGTGTGAAAGCGTATACATGCCATCAAATGGGATACCATATAGTAGCGGTGCTACGACTGATCGGCGATGATGAGAGTAATGGGTGTGGTTAAAGCACTGGAAGGAGTGGAAGTGTCAGTTGGACACTGAGTAACTTGTCGTTTTAATTTATAAAAACTAAACGGAATAGACTTTAGAAGTTGGTTCGGTGGAGTTGAAGCACTGAAAGGAGCTGAAGTGTTCAAATGAAGCCCGTTTACTTTGCATATTCCAAAAAATATATATATTTATATATCTGTAATAATCAAATGGCAACCAGTAATGTGAGGTTGTTGAAACAACAGTTTGGGTTCTACTCACAAACCCTTCTTTAATATACATATTGCAGCCTGTCACTGTCCGTTTCTTGTCACTTTTCATGCTGAGACGCCTCTTAAATCATTCATCCTCAATTTGGAATGAGCTATGAATATTCCAACCACAGTCCCACCCCCCCCCCCCCCCCCCCCCCCGCCTCACAAATGAGCGTAATCACTCACTTTAATGTGCCCGGCCGAGTGTAGCCAACGCAGAGGCAACGAGGATGTGGTGGCGAAACAGAAACTATTGATTAGTCTTCGTTTGACTCTGTTTGACGTCCGTCGTCTCCTACGTCTTGCGAGGACATTTATGGATATTTCGTTGCACAAGACTGGAGGCTCAATACAGTCTGGCCGTTGACGTAGTGGCCTTCTTCTTTTTAATCATCACGGAAGGAAACTTCTGTAAAGTTAACCATCACAGTGTGAAATATAGTTTTACTGACGATGGTTCTCCTCTAATATTCAGTAAAACACGTGTTTCTAGTCTCTGATCTCTGATCATGTTACATTGTAAACAACCAATCAGTGTTTGAACCAACAGGAGGAGAGCTAGTAACGTTAGCAGCACCGCTAACGGCTAACCAACGGACACTCTCTAGTAACGTCCTCAAAGCCCGTTTCATTCACCTCAATTGCAGAAGCGACCGGGTTTTAATCTGAAACAGGTTTCATGTCAGACGGATCTTTGTTTGTAATTTCCCCTGTTTCATAAGTTTCATGTTTCCTCATGCTGCAAACGAAACACTTCCTCCATGATGACCTTTTTTCTATATCTGATTAAATGAAATGTACAACCTGATCATGTCATACTGTCACTCACCACTCTGTTGCTCCTGGTTTCCCAGGATTGGTCCTTACATCTTTCCTTTCATAACAATCATCTCACCTCTCCTCTTCTGTTTACTTTCTCAGGCTATGAAGCCAGCGAAGACAAGGCGTTCAAGGAGCCCCTACTAGCCGACCCGGATGAGCCTCCACCGGTGCCGGTGATGCTGGCCGAGGTGGCCCCCGTGGCCCTGGAGAGCTCCGAGCCGGCCTACACGGAGTACCCCGAGCCGGGGCAACCAGAGCGCACAGGTGGGCTGGTTAGTGATTGGCTGGTGGTTATCACATGCGTCTACATGGTCTAGAGGTCTCTTAAGGGGGTCTATAATGTCTCTTACTCTGCAGCCACGGTTCCCTTCACTTGCATCTTGTTCCTGAGCTTTAAGAGGAGAAGAGGAACTATGTTTGTATGTGTGTCTTTGTGTAGCTCGTGTGAATAACAACCTGCGGTCTGTATTCATGCTGCTCACTGTGTGCTGCTGAGAGGCACCAGTTTATATAGTTTATTCATTACTTCCGCCGGTATTTATAGATGTTCTGATTGTGAAATCATTATTTCATGACCCGTCCTTTGAGTGCAATGTGAGATCTGTCTTCGCTCTGGTTGAAACTTTAGTGATACTGAGATTGTGTCAGATCAGACCAATCAAATAGCTGATATCTAATGAGGGGGCGTGTCCGTTAAAGGACTTCCTTGAAGGCTGCTCTCTTGTATCCTCAGAGATCCCTCTTTGCTCCTCAGAGCAGAAATAAGAGCTTTGAGACGGCCGTCAAGATGCCGAAACTAGAACAACTTTGAGGAGCGAGGGAATGTTGGATAAAAGAGTTGGGATGCACCCCAGGAGACTACTTAAGCTGCGTGGCGAGCGAGCTCCGAACATGAACGGAGGCGTTTAAAATCCACGATGGGCGTTCAAACTAAAATGAAGTGGGAAGATTTAAAAAGACGAGTGTAACCGACAAAAAGCCAAATAAACAAAGGTTTAATATCCTGTGAAATATGTGTGTGTGTGGCGCGCGCGTGTGTGTGCGTGTGGCGCGCGCGTGTGTGTGTGTGTGGCGCGCGCGCGCGTGTGTGTGTGTGGCGCGTGCGCGTGAGTGTGTGGCGCGTGAGTGTGTGGCGCGCGCGCGCGTGTGTGTGTGGCGCGTGTGTGTGTGTGGCGCGCGCGCGTGTGTGTGTGTGTGGCGCGCGCGCGCGTGTGTGTGTGTGGCGCGCGCGCGTGTGTGTGGCGCGCGCGCGTGTGTGTGTGTGGCGCGCGTGTGGCGTGTGTGTGTGTGTGTGGCGAGTGTGTGGCGAGTGTGGCGCGTGTGTGTGGCGCGGTGCGTGCGTAAATTTCACTAAAATTTGGATCAGCTGGCGACTCTTTAGACTCTTTCAGGTTTTGTGGCTGCTTTCAAATTCAGAATCAGATTTTACACTCTGATTAACTTTGAGCAGGTTTTTAGGCTTTAGAAAATGTGTATTTCATAAATGCAACGGAGTGTTTGCCGTCAGATCAGATCTTTTTGTCATGTGACGTGAACACTCAGTCACCGAGTGGGGAAACTCCCGTCTCTTCATTGTCTCAGTGGTTGTTATAACGTTGCATCATATTGTTTAATGGCTGTGCTCTGCTTCAAGCAGCAGAATGTATTGAGCGGAGGTGTGGCAGTGACCACTTCAGAGCTGTTTTGTTTGCATGTTTTATTTATGGCAGCATTAAAGTTTAATTGGCCGTTACCAGACGCTCTCCACGACAAGACATTCATCACTGAATGCCTCCTACCTGAGAGGAATGTCAACAACTAACCCAAAGCTGTGTAGAGAGAATACAAACCATCACACGAGTGTGTATCTCTGTTCTCCTTCCCATTGTTCCCAGAGATCACACCACACGAAATGATCGGCTGCAGATTAAGAAGATTCAAATGTGTATTTTAGCCTTTAGCACACTTCAGGAAGTTGTTGTCCTTAGAATAGAAGACTGCTAATTCTCAGTCAACTTCCCCTTGGTGAGGTCAAGGCTGTTAACTGGTTTAAGTTTTGTTGAGCTACAATCATGCTACGCGTTTTGTGTCAACCTTGAAATATTCTGCATCTCTGCTCTTCCTCGCCCACATCCTTCTTTAAATTCAGTTTATTTCATTCACATTGAACTGTTTTGAAATGCTGTTTTGCTCCCAGGGTCAGAGATGAGTTCTGGTGCTCTTTAATTTAACAAAGTATTTCCCTCTGTGTGTCGACAGGCAGCGACCCTCAGCCAGAGAGTCCTCAGGAGGGTCTGAGGGAGCACCTGAAGAAGACTTTGGAGTTCTGTCTCTCCAGGTGAGTTTACTTTTGAGAGAAGGTCACAAGAACTCACACGCTGAATTAATTCAGGTCCTCTAATTTGTAGATTGTAGTCAATTAGTCGTACTTTTATATAAAATATGACATTTTGCAAAAGAGACTCTGGAAGTATTTTCCCTAAAATGCAACACAGGAAGAAAAGTTTTTTTCTTTTATGATTTATGTCATTCTAAATGCTGTTGATGACTCAGTGGAATCTCTGTTTGTCTCTCTCTCTCTGTCTCTCTCTCTGTCTCTCTCTCTCTGTCTGTGTCTCTATCTGTCTCTATCTGTCTCTATCTGTCTCTATCTGTCTCTATCTGTCTCTGTCTGTCTCTATCTGTCTGTGTCTCTGTGGGTCTCAGACGTGGTCTGAATGAAAGCTTTATTTCATCCAGTTGAATTCTTCTGTTTTTGGTTGTTTAGCTGCTGGTTTGAAACAAATCAAGGCCTCAGAAACTTTAACTTTTATTTTATTTTTGTTCCTCTCTGAACACACCGTCAAATACAGTTAACTCCTCCAGTAGCTTCTCCAAAACCACAAAAAAAGAAAAACCTATCGACAACACCCCAATGAACACAACCAGACAGAGAAACCACAACAGTTGTTATGAAATACTGGAAGAGAAGAATATCTGAAGTGAAACCATAAACACTTGCAGAACATTTCCTTCTGTTGTGTGAAACAGCTGTTAGACAGAAGCACATTCCCACATGTGTTACCTTTGTGTTTCCTCAACAAAGGTAACACATTCCCACATGTGTTACCTTTTGTGTTTCCTCAACAAAGGTAACACATTCCCACATGTGTTACCTTTTGTGTTTCCTCAACAAAGCTGCTGGATGTTCATCACATGTAGAGTGTCAGTTTAATGTGAGCGCGCTCTGTAGCTGCTAAACAAAGCGTTTAATCCTTAATCTGAGTAAATAAAGGTTTGATTAGTGTGTGACCCACCTGTGTGCCTCCTCTCCTCCTGCAGGGAGAACCTGGCCAGTGACATGTACCTCATCTCCCAGATGGACAGCGACCAGTATGTGCCAATCGTGACGGTGGCCAACCTGGACCACGTCAAGAAGCTCAGCACCGACGTGGAGCTGATCGTGGACATTTTACGATGTGAGTCGAGTTAAAACCGGGACTTTAAATGATGGTCGCTCATCTGCTCGATGAGGCTTTAAAGCCGTGTTCACACCAAACGCTCCATTAGTTAAAATATCTCAACGCTGTGTCTTTAAAGCCAAGCGGTGTTTAAATTCTCCACCCTGACGTTGTTGAATCATAGATGGAGGAAACAGATATTATATCCATAGGTGTTCACCGTCTATGGTACAAACAATGAAAACGCTGCCGTATTTACGCCTATATGACGTTATTTTGAGTGTTGATGGAGCTGCTACAATGTTAGCTTAGCATTGATCAAACCAAACTGCATTCAAAAAACAAGTATTTTAAGAGTTGTTTGCTTGTTGTCTTGCGGAGAGAACGAACAAAACATGAATTCACTCTTTTTACACATCGGCATCATTATGTAGTTATTTCAACATCCTTTTTATCCGTTTACTGCTATTAAATCACAGTAAAATAGTTTATTTTGGGCTCATACAGCTGAAGTAAAATAGCCGGCGTGTGGCCTGCTACATACAGTGAATACAGCCTCTGGATGTTGTTTGGTTTCCTGAGACTTCAGTGATTGATGAAACGTTGTCTCCACGGTTTGCTGTGAACACATAAGTCCAGATAAACTTGGGTTGATTTCCCCAGGGAGGCTGTTAAAGTGCATTCAGCGGTCTCACCTGCCTGTGTTTGATTTATACACACACTTAATTCACTCCTTCATTAATCCTGTCTGGCCTCAAGCTGCAGTCTTAGTAACTTTGTGTTGTTGTTGTAATTCAAACCCTAATCTGCCTCGTTCCGTCCTACTCTCCAGCTCTGCCATTGGTCCAAGTGGATGAGAAGGGGGAGAAGGTGCGGCCCAATCAGAACCGCTGCATCGTGATCCTCAGAGAGGTTCCAGAGAGCACGCCCATCGAGGTCAGTGTGTCTGATGTGGTCCTCGTTGTTTTAAAGGAACGGCTGTCGGTGAACAAAGACTAGATGGATCATTCATCCAGATACTCCTTCAGTGATAACCACTCCAGAGGAGATGCACACATTATAACTCAGACACCAGATGTATTATTAGCTTTTTTGTTCTTGTAAATGTGTGTATTTAATATCACTAGTCCGAGGTCTTGGTGATGCAGAACACCATCTGTTTAGTAGAGTCGGATGAATAAACCACGACAGCCTGGTGGTGTCGAGGGAGCCCGTCCTGCATTCATACATCACCTGTTGTTCTGTTACACCTGGTCAGGGTTCTAAAGATGGAGACCATCCTTCTCCTTTAACCACTGATGCAGCCGCAGCATGTGTTCCTGCTCACACACCACGGTGCAGGTTTCAGGAGGTTTAGTTTGACTCTGAAGCATTTTGCTGCTTCCTGAGGTCAAAATGTTTTATTTCATCTGCACTGATTGAGAGTAACATTAGTGCAGCTGCAGATGGACGTTTTTTAAATCACTTTGTTTTGTGAGAATTATCTGCTGAATATTTGTCATATTTTTGGGATGACTCCCATGTACGTACTTTTTAAACAAAACAAAACTACATCCTGTTCATGTGGCTCTGATGTTTATTCAGAGGCAAAGATGAGGTCGAAACGGGGAGGAAACCTATTATTATTATTGTTGTTGTTGTTGTTGTTGTTGTTGTTGTTGTTGTTGTTGTTGTTGTTTTATTTATTGTGCAGCACCGGCACATAAAGTATTCAAAGCCGACTAAATAATTCACGGCAGGACTCAGACATGATAATTGACAAATGGGTTCCTGGAGCTACAACGTAACTACATCCTGGTGTTGATTCTTCTGAGCATATTGTGTTTTATTTTAGTTTGTAGACGTTTTAGCCCAATGTTCAATGTAACAAGCTAAAGAAGCAGAACGTCTGCACATATAGGACCTGTAGAAATCACAAATTATGCTTTTTGTGTCACATAATTCCTCAGTTTCCTAAATGTTACTCTAGCTTTTAATGTAAATATGCATTAAATCAATGAAATCATCTGCTTCACACAGAAGGAGAACTTCTTAAAGTGCAAAGATTGTTGACTAAACACCAGCTGTTCCAGGTCAACGTAATAGATAAAGAGAGTTTTCTGTGTGACTCAGCTGTTATGTGGTGCAGAAGGTTGTTTCGGTGCGTCGCAGTGAACACATCTGAAGGCGGTGACGTTTTGTTGTTGTGCAGGAGGTCGAGGCTCTTTTTAAAGGGGACAACTTACCCAAGTTCATCAACTGTGAATTTGCCTACAACGACAACTGGTTCATCACCTTTGAATCAGAAGCAGACGCACAGCAGGTAAGAGAGTGACCCCATAATAAAAACCCAAATACCGTCGTACTTGTGTATGTGATCAAGACCCAGGTTTCCCTTTGAAGTACTCCGTGTTATATTTGAGTGATTGTGAAGTTATTAATGTCATACTTACAGATTCTTCTGGTGTGTAGATGAATGAAGTTAGCATTCTGTTTGTCATTTTTAAACTCGACTGGTTAACACAGAGTTGTTCTCTTTCTCTTGATGAAGGCATATCAGTATCTCCGTGAGGAGGTGAAGACGTTCCAAGGGAAGCCTATTAAGGTAAGTTACATTTTGTTTAAAAAGATTTACCATCATTGTTGTGTGTACCAACAAATGCTGACCCCAAATCACACTCAACGTTAAAATATACTACTTGCAGAACCTCTTTTAGACGGTCTTTAAAATTCGATATAAGCTGAATATACATATACTGTATTTATCAGCCACTCTTCTTTATTTAAGAAGGAAATAAGTTTATTCTTCACACAAGTATGCAGAAGAAGCCGATAAATCATTAGCTGGTATTAATCCCCCCCGCCCCCTCTTTCCTGACTCCTCCCAGGCGAGGATAAAGGCGAAGGCGATCGCCATCAACACTTTCATGCCAAAGAACGGTTACCGGCCGGTGGAGGTGAACCCGTACGCCCACCAGCAGCACCAGCAGCACCAGCAGCAGCAGCAGCAGCAGCAGCAGCAGCAGCGCTACACGTCCTACTACATCCCGCCGGTTTACAGCCCCCAGCAGCAGTTCCCCCTGTACAGCCTCATCACGCCGCAGGCCTGGTCGGCCACACACAGCTTCATCGACCCCACGCTGGTAAGAGCCGACGAACGACGACGCTTAACAAGTGTTTATCAGAAAGATCAGAGGAGTTTTGGGCTCGTTGAAGCCAAGGAAGGGATATTTAGTCGGCTGTGTTATTAAAATGGTGTTATTTAATTTTTATTTTATTTTATTTAAACACATTATCTTGTAAATGTCTCCCAGAATTGGTTGTTTTTTCGAGTCTATATCTGTAGTTATTTCCAAACAGTCTTTTAATATAAATTATTACTTTTTTCCACTTTCCTCTCGCTACAAACACTCATAACCTTCGTTAAATAAATATCATCTTTTTGGCTTTTCTGTTCTCCAGGTTGCACCGTTTCACAACAACCAGTTCATCAATGGATTCACCACATCACACGGTTTCAAACCAGCGACGTCCCCGCTCACCGTCAGACACTACTCGCCCAGAAACAGGTTGGTAGAATTAACGAGCGTCGTCAGATCCTGCTAAGAGAAAAAGTTTTATTATGCTGTAAACCTGCTTGAATCACTTCAAAGAAAAGTGCTTTTTATTTGTGTTTTCTGGCACAATCTCATATTTTGTATCTGTTTTACAATGAATTTCATTAGATCATATCATTTCAACTCGTGTGTTTAAATGTCTGAAACGACCCACACACTTTTTCTCTAATCTGATATCTTCAGTTAACAGTTTTAAGCATCTTAAATGCAGCTTGTTGCTGATTGTTGCTGAGTCTTTTCTTTCCCGTTTCCTGCAGGAATCACAGTAAACCTCACCTGAGGCCGACCCTCCCGACGGTGGACCGCAGCAGCGCGGGACTCCTGGACAACCCGGGCCTCTTCCCCAGCTTCCCCAGCGAGAGGCTCAACGGGGTCCGCAGCAGTCCGCCGACTCGACTCCCCGCCAGCCAGCCCAGGACCCGGTTACCCTCTGCCGCCTTCCCCCGCAGGGACACCGTGGGCACGGGGCGAGTGACGGAGCCAACGACCCCCGACTACTCCCTGGGTATCGGCCGAGGAAGGTAGGACTCTGCTGAAGTACTGCTTTGTACCTCTGTGTGGCTCCATGACGGTATACTAAATACTAAATGTTAAAAATACTTATATTAATGTAGCCTGATCTTAATCTGGTACTGGGCAGGAACACCTGCTTTAAACACAATGACGGCAGAAACACCTGCTTGAGTTATGAGCATTTTATTTGATGGGATTAAAAGTTAGAAAAAGAGAACTGCATCAACAGTTAACATTAGATTTATGTCGTTCTGAGACGTAAACCGTTGAATCAAACGACGTGAAAGCTCTTAAATCGGTTACTGCGATGCAGAATCGATGGATTTGTCGTCTCAGACAGAACGGATGTTTGTAAAGTGAAGTGTTCTCTTTCTTAAAGGAAAAATGTTTCTGCTTCTAGGAAAAAGAGGGACGAAAAGTTTACAGTAAGTACTTTTCCTTTTTGTCGTCTTCCTTGTCGTAGATTTGGTTTGAGTTTACCTCTTTATGGAGATTCTTACTTCTGTTTTGAGCTCGTCGTGAGTCCCTCCTCCTCCTCCTCCTCCTCCTCCTCTTTGAGTTTTGTGTTGACTCTGTGTGTTTGTTGCCGTCGCGTAGAGAGTGACGCCTCAGTCGCCGCCTCCTCCCCCCAAACCCCCGTCTCCGAGCTTCGAGCTGGGCCTCTCCAGCTTCCCCCCGCTGCCCGGAGCAGCCGGCCACCTCAAGACCGACGACGTGTTCGACAACCGGCTGGCCAGCAGCATCGTGGTCGGACACGCCAAGGAACGGGTGAGGAAACGGAGCCGGGCGTCTTTTCTACATACTATATTAGATGCTGTTTGGGGAAATTCACACACAATTCAGCAAACTGCTGTCACGTTATCACTGTTTCTTAAAGGAACAGTGTGTTAGTTTTAGTGGCATCTAGTGGTTTGTGGCAATCTTTGGGATTTAAGGACAACTAGGAGCTACTCTTATTTATCTTTAATACCTTCAGATAACATAGAAACCACGAGTGGCTGCTAAATCTTCTCCCCATTTGCAGAATGTAAGTGCTGATTCCAGTACCGGAGGAGCGCTGTCTCCAGCGGGCCCCAAAGAGCCACTTCGGTCCTCCTCCTCCCCGATGCCCACGAGCTTCCAGCCGTCGCCGACCGCCCCCCCGGCCTCAGCCCCGACCCCGACCCCGACTCCGGCCACCGGCACGCCACACAATCCGGCTCCCTCCCTCCCAGCAGCGTAAGAACCACACTGGCAGAGTAGATTCTGAAGCGTAGCTCAGGGGTCTGTAAGTCGATTTCTTTTCATCAGCCATAAAGCAGGGTATGCTTTAGGGCGGGGCTTACGGTGATTGACAGGTCTCTACCAGAGACTTATACGGCGCTACATCTCCCCCATCATTAAATCTCTGACACAGACCTCCTGAGTGTTATAATCATGTATTTCACACAAGAGTCCGTCCGGCTGTTGTTGTTTCGCCGTCTTATTTTATTTTTTCACCACTCGTCGTTTAATCTGGCGTTGCCTTCTTGTTCTGCTTGTTTCAGGGAGGTGAAGGTGACGGAGGTGAAGCCGAAGGAGGCGCAGTCGTCTGTGGAGCGAGTCCCTGGCACTCTGTCCACTGCAAGCAAATCAGTGCAAGTCAACGGCGCTGCCACAGTCAGTATTGATTCCTTCTTTACCTTTTATGTTTTCCACCCTATCGCACCTCCTTTTGGTAAACGCTCACCTCCTCTCAGACAAATCAATCTCATCATGAACACAAGAAGGTCAATTAATTCTGCAGCGTCTCGTATTGATTTTGATTAAAGACGTCGGCTCCTGGGGGAAAACAATAGATGTGCATTTTTCGTAAAACGGATCTTAAAAAGATTTACAGGTAACAACTGCATGGACAGTTTTTATTATTTAGAACATGGTGTCTTTTTAAGGAAACACCAGCTTTGGTAAGAAGGACTAAACTTCTGCTTCAGTGCCGGTGAAACTCCCTTTGGCTTTAGTTCTTTTAGCGTTGCAGTAAAACACAGAGAGCTGAAAACCTGCAGCTGACGAAACAGGACGATAGAAAGACGACTGCAGACTTGCGTAGGTGGGAACAGAAATCCCCAAAGAGATGATGTAAGAAACGGCAAATTATAATACTGCCGTCAGGTTGAAACTCTGAGACTCTGATAAGGTTGAGATTTCAGGATTTTGTGTTGTACAGATTTATGAAGCAGAATAAATCCTATTAGAAAATATATAATCCTACAAAATATATCGGTGCTCAAAGGTCCAGGCCGGTAGACGACGGAGTGTTTTACGTCTGTTGTTGTTTTGCTGCCAGGAGCTGAGGAAGCCGTCCTACGCTGAGATCTGCCAGCGGGTGAAGGACGCCCCGACGTCACAGCACCAGCAGCCGCCGACCCCCAAGGAAGCCAAGCCAGCCTGCGCTGCCCCCGGGGGCGAGGAGAGGAAGTGCCCCGACGCCGCCGCCCCGACAGGGGAGGCCAAGGCCAGAGAGACAAACTCCTCCTCCAAACCGGCCGTCAGACCCCCGAGGGAGGCCCGGAGGCCGGCCGGGCGGTGGGCCTCTCCTCCCCCGCACCCAGGGAAACCCCCCAGCAGAGATCCTCACCACACCCCGCCCAAGTCCCCGCAGTAGGGCGAGTCCCCCCGCCCCCCCACCACCACCACGCTCCACAGATGCGTTAAAACAAAAAAAGGAAATATAAGTCAGGGCTACTCAATACTTATATCCCCGAATCACCGGTCACAAACGAGAATAGAGGACGCCTTCTTTTCTGGATCAGGGCTTGCAGACAAAAAGCACTTTACTGTGCATGTAGAGCACCAGTTGCATTCTTTTTCTTTTTATTTATTTACTTTTTTTTTTTATTTCTCCTTTTCTCTCTTTTTTTCTTTGTTTTGCATCACGTAGTTGTGTCCTTTAAGTCGGCACAGACGACACTGAAATTCACTCATTCTGTTCGAACGGCCTTGTGCGATTTAAATTAGTCAGAGGGCCATTGTTGGAAGTGGATGACGGGAACGCGTGCGCACAACAGACTCCGCCTTGTTTGGCTCTCGCAGTGAGGGGTTTGTCTGCATGCTGAGGGGCACCGTTGTGCAACTTGTAGCTTAATTATGGGTCATAATCAGCAGATGTGTTTTTTTAATACATATTCAAAATCCATATGCAAGACTTGACATCGAAATCTCATCAAGATCCTTTTGGTGTAAATCGCCTCAAACTGATTTTTTTATTTTGCAGATTTATTTACACTAGATGACTTTTGCGATTTCTTCCTCATCATCTTCTCTGTAAAGAATCGCCTCCCTCTGCTGTGTTGTTTTTACTGTTTGCTAACAATGCTACCTGGCTGGCTGTGTTGCATAGCTTGTGTCTAACGGCCGTGATGTGATGTCAGCGCTGGTTTGTTGTTGTTTTTTAAGCGTCGGACAATAGCGGCTCGCGGAAAACAGATGAGGTGGACGGTGTTTCTGTTGAGTTGCTCGCCGCGTTTGTAAAAGATGTTTAATGAGTCAAGGGGGGGGGGGGGGGGGGGCCTGCATTTTCTTGGCATTTTATGGGAAAAGCGGAGCACGCTCTCCTTTAATTTCCTATTTAAGAAAAAAGAAACTGGAATGAAACTTCTCAGCAGGCACATACTGTCAAACGAATTTAAAGTCCAGCTGTGACGATTAACAATGGACGCTTCGCGGCGGAAGCGGTTCGGTTTCGACGTGACAAAAGAGTTAAAGTCTCCTGCGTGTGAAGTTCACCAAAAAAAGCGGCACGAGTTCACAGTTTTGATGCAGAGATCTGGTGCTAGAACGCTGATGCTCATCTTGTCTTGATTTACATCCACAGAACTTCATTTGCACTGTTAGTGGGTTTTTTCAGACTCGCTGGTAAAATTTGATGATAACAACTGAAGCGGGGAAGAAAAAAAGGGAATTTATTCTGAAAATCAAGGGAAGAGGAAAAAGTTACAAATGCAAATTCGTTTTTCCAGAGGCAAATCATCTCGCTGAAGCCTTTAGTGGAGTCTTTGTGCCTTGTGGATGCCTGTTGAACACACTGTACTGAAGGACGGATGTTTTTAGTCACATGACTCGTTTGGCGGCTCGTTGCTCGGATGCTAATTTACATTTCTGCTGAAGGAGTTGTTTCAGCGTGCGGTGGTTTGGATTCTGGGCTCTGGTTCTGTATCGGTGAGGACTCGCATAGAAAGTGAGACGGTTGAGTCGAAGGTTTTACGAAAGAAACGCTGAGTTGTTTTCTGACGTGTTGGAGCGTGGAGTTAGTGGAGTCTGGCATGAACCAAACATACTTTTAAGGATTAAACACATAGACGAGAGCAGGAAACAGTCGTGTGAAATCCAAACCTCGGGGGGGTGAAGATGAAGATGTTCAGCTCCTTTGTCTTCCTCAGCGTCGATCCAGTCTTCACCACTCTTCACCACTCTGGTTGTCTTGTTGTTGTTTTTCTGTCGGCATGCTCCCTCGTCGGTTTCCTCGAGTTCCAGTTTGCACACTTTTTATTTGAGGTGTGTGTGTGTGTATATATATATACATACATACATACACATACACACACACATATATACATACACACACACACACATACATACATACACACACACACACAACTCAAATAAAAATTATATATGAAGATTGGCCGAAGCACACGTTGTTCTTACTGCTTCACTCCTGTCGTTCTTGCTTGGATTAAGTTCAGCACCTGACGGAGGTTAAATTTAAAAGCACAGAGTGTAAAAAACCTTTTTACATCTAGAGGATCGGAGACGCTAACGCTTTAGCGACCACACAGATTCAGGCTCAGTGGGATGTATTTTTGGGGGGCGTAGTGAGGCCGTTTGTCGGCCGTTTTCCTTCTTTGTCAGCGTGAGGGAGCGGGGGAGGAAGAAAGTTAAAATTGCAGCTTTTGGTCTGGAGGTCTGTCTTCTGTAGCAGCCACTGTGGCAGATAACCAGCCACGTCTTGGATGTTTTACTGTATTCTAAAAATGTAATCTGCTGGCGAAATGATACAAAAAGAATGGTTAGTGTAAGAGTTTTGAAACTGCAATTATGAAACGTCAAAGGTTTGGAGGGGGCGTACCAGACTTGAGGTGATTTTCTTTTCTTTTGTTTTCCTCCCTGATCAGCCGAGTTCTCGGGTTTAATCTCTTTTCAACCTCCGATGCAAAACACCCGTAAAACAAAAACACTGTACAATACACAACGTTTCTTTGAGGGGAAGCAAGCCCACATGAAGCGGGACCTCGCATGTCTCGCCAAAGTCTTCCTGCAACAAGAAGCATTCTGGGTAATCCCACTAAGAGAAAACAGCCCATCCCGGAGAGAGGGGGAAGCTTCATGTAACAAACAAAGAGCCTTTACTCCGCCTCATAGCTGCTTTTCATTTGGACGCAAAATCTCGAATTTGCTAAGCTGAAAAGAAAATAGTATTTGTTTTGGAATTCTTTTGAAGGACTGAGATGCACTCGGATGGTCGATTTTATTTATTTTTCTCATCGGTGGAAATAGTTCAAGAGATGAAAATGCACCATATCCACTTATTTATAAACCAATGCTGTTTATTATTCCATGAGAAATATCATTAGCTTTTCTTTTTAGGGAGACGAAAATACATAGAGATGCATCAAGATCTCTACATCTATATACACATCTCTATATATCTATATATATATATATATATATATATATATATATATATATATATATACGCAAAATGTAAAAAAAGAAAATCCATCCAGTGTTTGAGAAACTTGAATTTTATTTAAACTTGAAAATGACTTTGCCTTAACTTTTATACAAGACAAGCAGAGACAAACAAATCCCCAAAATGTTATTGAAACGTGACACGTGGAAAATATTAGTCTGACGTCACAAGTCTGAGAGAGAGAGAGACAAAGAGACAGACGGACACAGACAGAGAGAGACAGAGAGACAAAGAGACGCAGACAGAGAGAGAGAGATGCACAGAAAGAGAGAGACAAAGGGACAGACAGACAGACGGACAGAGAGAGAGACAGACAGAGAGAGAGAGACGGACAGAGAGACAGTACAAATCTAGCAGCGTTTTCTTTGTTTTTGTGTAAAATGTACGCTAAAGAATGGTTTTGGTCTTTTTGTTTCTTGTCGTTTTCAGGTTGTTGTTTTGGGGGAAAAACATAAACCGTGTAAATGCAGAACTAGTCGATACTGTATTAAATCTGTGCACTTTGAAGTGTGTGCTTTGCTTGTACAGTTGTAAATACTCAGAAAAATATAAGAGGTACCTTAAAATGATTATAAAAAAATATATTGATCTTGTTGAACTATTAATGTCGCTATGGAGCTGGATGTAGGATATAACAAAAAAAACACAAAAAACTTAATGTTGTGCTTTTGGAGATATTTTTCTTTAACGTTTTTCTTTCTGTTATTGTGTAGTTTGGTGTGCAGAGGTTGAAATCGGCTCCTCTCTGCAGGGCAGCTTGTCTGATTGTACATTTTTTGTTGTCTTTTCATTCCATCTTTTCGTACCTGTGTGGTCGGACACACCTGAGTGTACAGGTGTGTCCTTACCCCCTCCCCCCCCCACTCACTGTGCACTAATTGGAAAGAGCCTGTGGTACTGACTTCTTATTAATGAACCTTACAAAGCTGCGTGTCCACCAACATCCTCTTTAAAGCTCTGGCTTCTTCTGTTATTTTACTGTTTACGCTTCAAATTTGTATTTTTTATTTTTTTTTTCTGCCACAAAAAATATAGAAATTTTAAAACTGAAGGAGAAAAAAAAGCACTACAAGTCGTCAATGTGCAAACTGCTGCAGCCGCTAATGCAAGGTTGTTCTTGACATCTTTAAATAAGAGTAGATGTAACATAAAAGTATTAATGTTTGGAGAGATCCTCACGTAGACCATGACACTAACGCTGAACATCGATATACCGAGATGATTATGACGTGTTCATACATATGCAACTCAGCAGTGTATTACTCAAAACTGCATCGTGTCCACGTGAAGTGAACGATATCTAACGTCGGACGATATTCACGCGATCGAGAGCTGAAGTTCGGCATCTTTTTGAGGGTTTCTTTCTTCGGTTTTTGGTGAAACTTAATTTGTGTTTTTCTGTCCATGTTCAAAGATGAATGCGTGTCTTTAACTAATGTACTAACATCAGAGCCTTTTGTCAATGAAGGAGGGAAATATGCTTATTTCTATGTGAGACTAGAAGATCGGAACCACTTAGCTTAGCTTAGCATAAAGAAAGGAAACCGGGTGAACCAATAGAAACAAAATGGCCGTAGAACGGACGTTTCCGTTCAAGTCAACGTAGCGGGGTGGTTAGAGCGGCGGCCATTTCTACCTGGACCGTAGCATGCTCGCTTCCGTATTAGCTAAACAGACTCACGGCAAGTCGGAACAACTCACTGAGGTGAGGTTTTTTGCAGTAACGCACACTCGTATCCCAGCGTAGGAAAGCAAATTCACCGGATTTCTGTAACCGGTGTCGCACTAAAGCGTGGTGGAATTAACAAGCTAACTAGCGGACAGCTGGCTAGTCAGCTAGCTTGCTAATTCCACCACGCTCTAATGCTACACTGGTTGCAGAAAGTGAGCCCAAACAGCGAGCCAACTGTCCCGACCACCTCACTCCCCGACGCTCCAGAGAAGACAAGCTAGTAAACTAGCTAACTAGCTAGCTATCTCTTTCCCGGTTAGCTCGTACAACACTGACGTGTGTTGTCACCATATCAACTAACAACAATCAATATCTTCTTTTGTACTCATCGCGTAACTACAATGTCCTTTCTACTTGTACTTCTATTTCTGTGGTTTTAAAGATCCCTCCACCAACATCTCTAAAGCTTATTATGTAAACAAACTTAGCTTTTGACAAAAGGCAAGAAAATAGTTCCAGCACGTAACACAAATAGTTGTTTTGACGTTTCAGTTTTTAAGATGCATGTTGATTATTGAGCTTTAGAGGTGCTGGTCGGCTTATTGTTGATGCTTAGACGGAGCCTGGCTAGCTGTTTCCACTTGTTTCCAGTCCTTTATGCTAAGCTAACCAAGCCCAGCTGTGTGCTAATCGTTCTCATGCGAGTTGTATCGTGTCGTCTCGCTGTCGGAGGGAAAGTAGAATAGCAGCTTCACCTAATGTTGATAACAATTTCTTTAAGGAAGAGAAATGCTCATTTTTGTTAGCGTACAACAGCTACCATGAAAAGGGGCTCGGTATCGCGGTGCCTTTACGATACCTACGAGTTTCGGTAGCAATACAAAAACTTTCTGTGTTTTTAATACTTCAAAATCCTGTTTTTGTCATTTCAACTAAAGAAGTCTTTGTTTGCTAAACACAAGAACTTAACTTGAATCAAATACATCTGAGCCCATCAGACACGACATTTTACGCCACATTTTGGTACCCGACAGTGTGCAAACATGGTATCTACAGCTAAGACTCATGGGAGATGTAGTTGGTTGAATGCGAGCACCATTTTGAGTTTATCTGTGTTGAAAAAGGCAGATCGATATGGATCGGGTGTGATGGTTGTTGTAGTTCTGGTCGGTGTTCACGGTTATCCGTTTATCGTCTCTTAGAATATGGACAGAAAAACTACAAACCGGTAAAAAAGAAACTTGACAAAAACGGTAAAGATTACGAGAAACAAAAACATTTTGTGTCAGAACTTCAGCTCTCTGTATTACTGCGACACGTCGTTCACACTGATGTCAGTTTGAACTTCCGTACGAGCTGCACCTCCTTCTCTCCATCTTTTAAAAAGACAAAGAACACAGAGCGATGCCTGATGGACACGTCACAGTTTTGTCTCCGGTACCGCACTCGAGGTGGAGGTTGTTTTTGTTGTTTTTGTTTTTTTAATCACCTGCAAAGCTGACGACACATTTTTGGACCCCCCCCGTGGATTGTACATTTTAGTTGTTTCTTTCTTCTTCTTTTTTTAAAAGACACTTTTTGGGAAATAAAGTGAAACGTTGGGAGTTGTTGTTGCTCCTCGAGTGTCGATGCAGCGACCGGACGAGACGTCCGCTCAGCCAAACACTCAAAGAACAGAAGAAGGTCGCTGCGTCTTTTCTTTTCTCCGTTCTGAGGTTTTCTTCATGTTCAGCTTTCATGACTTCCTCTCCTGAGAAATAAATGTACAAAATGATTTGGGGTTTTTTTTGGGGGGGGACGAAAGCAGACGCTCAACTGGAATCAGTTTGTTTTAGTTTTACGCTTTTCTGGCACATACAGTCCAGTAACATGTTGAGACGTCTTGTTTTAAACCGTTTGATCACACGTGGACTGCATTGTGATGTGTGCAGAGAAACCCGATAACTGTGCCATTATACAGCGTGTTCTGTTGGTTTAACCTGTACATAGCTGAGCGCTCGCCACCTCCGGCTTCTACTTCTGTTTAGTTTTTTAATTTTTTATTATTTTGAAGATGTGATTTGTTTTTGTTCTTCTTCTTGTTCCTGAAAGTCGAGTCAGAGACTGGAGATAGATCCACAATGTGACGCCACTGACTGGAGGAGCGGTTTGTTTGGTTCCGACCCTCGAAACCTTCTGAGAACACAAGACGCTGATTTACAAACTGGTTTCTCCCTGAACTGTGAATGTGTGCATGTGTGGGATAAATAAGTGTCCCACCCGGAAAAAAACACCCTGAAGTGCGGTACCTCGGACTGGATGGGACCGCTTTCCAAAGGGGGGGGGGGTCTCCTGTTTGGGGGTTTTTTGTTTGTTTTTTTGGCGGCAAAGACGGAGCGGAGAGTTATTCACGACTCTCCTCTATCGTTTTTTCACGGACTTCTATACGGAGCCTCATATCAGCCTGTCAGTCGCTTCCTTCCTGTTCGCCCGTTTTTTTTGACAGTGCCATTTTGTCGTCGTACCCCCCCCGCCCCCCCCTCAAGGGTTGCATCTTATTATTTCTCAAAGATATAACAGCGAATGCACACCAACCGACTGGAACAAGACTTCTCTTTATCAACTCACTGTGGTTTAACTCATTAACGCTCTTATGCTAAGCTAACGGCTGTGGACAATCGATGACTCCTTCCTGTTGGGGTTTGGACAGATGTTTTTTTGCCTAACGACACCTTTAGCAGATGTGGAATCGGAGGTTGTGTTCAGGAGGGCTTCTTTATTTTGTTGTGTTTTTGTTTCTTCGGGTCTATTCTTCCATCGAGACTGGAATCAGCGTACATGTCGGCTCTAGATGATTTAAGTTACTCTGTGTCATGATGTAAAACTGTCTAATTTGGAGAAAAAAATGTAGCTTACTGAAAAATAAAGATTTAGGCACTGTTGAGGAGCCGCTGTCTGTTCAT